GGTTACTGAGGACATTGTCTGTATCTGACCCCCTACATGGAGACTGACATGGGCTACTGCGGACATAAACTTATCTTACCCACTACATGGAGACTGACATGGGCTACTGCGGACATAGACTTATCTGACCCCCTACATGGAGACTGACATGGGCTACTGCGGACATAGATTTATCTGACCCCTACATGGAGACTGACATGGGCTACTGCGGACATAGATTTATCTGACCACCTACATGGAGACTGACATGGGCTACTGCGGACATAGACTGTATCTGACCCCCTACAGGGAGACTGACATGGGCTACTGCGGACATTGTCTGTATCTGACCACTTACAGGGAGACTGACATGGGCTACTGCGGACATTGTCTGTATCTGACCGCCTACAGGGAGACTGACAAGGGTTACTGAGGACATTGTCTGTATCTGACCCCCTACAAGGAGACTGACATGGGCTACTGCGGACATAGGCTTATCTGGCACGGGCTACTGCGGACATAGTCTGTATCTGACCCCCTACATGGAGACTGACATGGGCTACTGCGGACATAGACTTATCTGGCCCCCTACAGGGAGACTGACATGGATTACTGCGGACATAGTCTGTATCTGACCGCCTACATGGAGAATGACATGGATTACTGCGGACATAGTCTGTATCTGACCGCCTTTATGGAGAATGACATAGATTACTGCGGACATAGATTTATCTGACCCCTTACAGGAAGACTGACATGGGCTATTGCGGACATAGATTTATCTGACCCCCTACAGGGAGACTGACATGGGCTATTGCGGGCATAGACTGTATCTGACCCCCTACAGGGAGACTGACATAGGGCAAGTGCGGACATAGACTTATCTGACCCCCTACATGGAGACTGACATGGGCTACTGTGGACATAGATTTATCTGACCCCCTACAGGGAGACTGACATGGGTTACTGAGGACATTGTCTGTATCTGACCCCCTACATGGAAACTGACATGGGTTACTGCGGACATTGTCTGTATCTGACCCCCTACATGGAGAATGACATGGATTACTGCGGACATAGTCTGTATCTGACCGCCTTTATGGAGAATGACATAGATTACTGCGGACATAGATTTATCTGACCCCTTACAGGGAGACTGACATGGGCTTTTGCGGACATAGATTTATCTGACCCCCTACAGGGAGACTGACATGGGCTATTGCGGGCATAGACTTATCTGACCCCCTACAGGGAGACTGACATAGGGCAAGTGCGGACATAGACTTATCTGACCCCCTACATGGAGACTGACATGGGCTACTGTGGACATAGATTTATCTGACCCCCTACAGGGAGACTGACATGGGTTACTGAGGACATTGTCTGTATCTGACCCCCTACATGGAAACTGACATGGGTTACTGCGGACATTGTCTGTATCTGACCCCCTACAGGGAGACTGACATGGGTTACTGAGGACATTGTCTGTATCTCACCCCCTCAATAGAGACAGACATGGGCTACTGAGGACATTGTCTGTATCTGACCCCCTACAGGGAGACTGACATGGGTTACTGGTTTTTATTTGTACAAATCGAAATTTCCGAATGAAGGTGGCAAATGAAGCTGACTCGTTTAAGAAAGCTGAAACCTGATTTCAACCCACACATCTCACTGTTAGTTTGGGCAGTTAGAGTTCGCTTCCTTCGGTGGAGATGTCATCAGATCTTCACGCAGAAAGGTGTGGTTTTGAAGTATAAGATCTGCTCATATTTAGACCGGTTCACCCACACGCATATACGGGTGGCCTAGTCGTCTAAGGTGCCGCAATTCGCTATGCCGCGTTGCGCCCCTTAGGTACGCCAGAAACCTATGATCGTGAGTTCTAATCCCAGTTCGCCCCGATTATGTTTCTATGTTTGTCAGCACCATATCCGCGCTCGTGGGTTTATGACCTGCATCACTAAAACCAATTCACTCACTCACTAGCCCCATCAAACAGAAGCCTCGTGGGACATCATTGATAGTGCTAGGAACGTACATGGGGATCAGTATAAACCATGATTCGTTGGTGTTGACATTTGTTATTCAGAACGATTTCACTGGACACGGAACCGTCCGGATTCACTGGGTTGCACTGTACTTAAGAAATAAACGACGAGTGGTAGTTGTTTATCGTACAATAAAAAACTGCGGGGAGAATAAACGAATGTGGTTTATTCTCCCTGCATTTTTTTCTGCACGATAAACGACGACCACGAGTCGTTTATTTCTTATATGAGATATCAACATTTTGCACAGCCTCTTTAAGGATGTCAATAGAATGTACAAGTATTAAAAGTATTTACCTGTATTTAAATAATGATGACTCCCTGACTACAATCCGACCTCAGCAAGGTCGGACAAGTCCATTTTATGAACAGGGGGTTACGTTTGGTGTTTCCTGGATCTTGTCACAATTTTTACGTCAATTTCTGTACCTTTTCTCCCAATACCGATTATCATATCACTTTTGAATACACTTGTTCGAGCATTGCGTTTATCTACGCCGCCCAGCTACATCTATGGGGAACAACTCACTAGATACTTCCTAGGCCCGTGAAGATCCGGGAAAGAATAGGTCTTCAGCAACACATGCTTGCCGTAAAAGGCGACTATGCTTGTCGTAAAAAGGCGACTATGCTTGTCGTAAAAGGCGACTAATGGGATCGGATGGTCAGGCTCGCTGACTTGGTTGATGCATGTCATCGATCCCAATTGCGTGGATCGATGTTCACTATTAAACAACACCCAAACAAAAAAACAAAAGATACTTCCGTTTTAAAACAACGTCGTCCAATTTACGACGTCATCAAGTTGCGAGCGCATGTTCGAATTTCCAGAGATGACGTCATGGTAGAACATCGTGAAATAAACCACGCTTTGTTCTTCATTGTTCTCAGCAATTTATGACGTAGCTATCTTACATGTGAGAATAGTAGCAGCATGTAGCAAACGCACCGAGCCACCTGTGGTTCACACAGCAACAACAGGAAAACGAGTGACGGGAAAACCTGTATACTGTGCGGAGCGATAAGCGTAAATATGTGACGTTCACAGCAAGGTCATGACCTAAGGTCACGCCAGTACAATCCGAGTTAAAACAAATAACAACAAAAAGATCCAAAAAGAAAAATTTGCGAAAGAATGTGTGGACAGACATGAACGTACTCGTGACGCACGTGATATGAACACATGGAACTCTTTTACGATACGGGGGCACGGGTGGCCCAGTCGTCTAAGGCGCCGCGATTCGCTGTGCAGAATTGCGTCCCTTGGGCACGCCAGAAACCTATGATTGTGGGTTCGAATCCCGGTTCGCCCCGATTATGTTTCTAGGTTTGTCAGCACCATACCCGTGCTCGTGGGTTTCACCGAAGTGGTAAACGTCTGAGACCTGCATCACTTCGGGCTTTCCTCCCACATTAAGCTGACACGCCGCGATATAACTGGAATATTGTTAAAAGCGGCGTTAAACCCAACTCACTCACTCACTCACTTTTACAATACAAAATGTAATGATGATAACGTGCGTTGACCAAATAAATTAAATATTATTAAAACATTTAACACTCCATCTGTATAGATGAAGTAATTCAGTGACAGTGGCCGCATTAGTGGACAGCTTGTGATGTGATCATGGTCACGTCTGGCTTGTAGGACAGCCGGAGATACCTAGTATCTTGTAGAAGTAGGCTTGTAGCACGGCTTTTGAACCGTAATGAAAGCCTCGTGTAAATACGTGATAGAGTTATGCTTAAGGGGGGCATTATCTGTGTGGATGCCGGGGCAGATTAGGTCTCGAGGGGGTCCAGACCACCCCCCAACCCCCTCTTTTGAAAACCAAATGTAGTATGTTGTAGGGGTAAAAAATAGGATTTTTGATATTTTGGAGCCCTTCCTTTTTAATATGTTGGATCCGCTCCAGCATCCCACACTGATGTTTTTGTAAGAAGTATATAAGGCCCTAGCTTCCTATATCATGAATGTGGCAAGGATATATGTGACATTTATTTCAGTAATTTACACTGAGCATAAGTGCTGGACTAGTGAAGATCCGGGGTAGAATAGTTCTTCAGCAACCCATGCTTGTCGTAAAAGGCGACTAACGGGAATGCGCGGCCAGGCTCGCTGACTTGGTTGATGCATGTCATCGTATCCCAACTGCGTGGATCGATACTTAAGATGTCAATCACTGAATTGTCTGGTCCAGACTCGATTATTTACAGACCGTCGACATATAGCTGGAATATTGCTGAGTGCGGCGTTAAACAACAAACAAACAAATCTTACACATGTTGATTGGCCAGTTGCTACAGTGTTTTCATTGTTTGCAAAGAAGCCCCTGGAAATGTGACGTCATATAGCGGTCGATTGTGAAATCGTCCTCCAACAACGAGGGTCGTTGCCCAAGCTATCAACCACTGGTTTACATGGTCGGGATTCGAACATTTACAGGCAGATGTGATAGAGCTGGATCTGCTGAATGGGAAATAAAACATTATTTACTCACGCACCCAATACGACAATATCGCGCGGAGTGACGTTATTGCAGGTGTCACACCGAGAAACATGATAAATAGTAACCAACCTTTCCCACATGTCTGCGTTACATCAATCACAGAGCACTCCAAACGCGTAACTATATTTCTTTTATTCATTAAACGTTTGTAATACGCACTGATAATGTTTCAATATGAATACATCTCTGTTGCTCCTAAAGTATATGCATCACCCCATCGGTAATGTGTTGAGTCAGGCTGCTGTTGAATCATGAGCAGCTTAAATGTACAAAGTTCATGTGTGATTTAGGTTCAGGTTTAATCCCGCAGTTTTGTAAACACTTGGGTTAAATATATATCTGTACACGCTGAAGTTGACCTGTTAGAGTCCTGTTGGTTTACTGTCAATGCTGTACTAGCGCGAGTGTTATCACACCACCGTCACACACAGATAAGGTTTCAAGCGGCTGGTATATAGCCGGCGTCAGCTGGGAGCACGTCAGTTTGCAAGACACATTCACCATGTTGCTGCTGCTTGTCGCCGCCTGTGGGTTCCTAGCCGCCGAGGCCATCGTGTGCGCCCCTGACATGTGCAAGGGAGTGGACTGCCCCGACGTCACTGGCTGTAATGGCAAGGTCAAGGCCAACGGCGGGTTCTGTGGATGCTGTGATAGCTGTGTTAATCTTCTGGGTAAGGATACTTTCGGTCATCAACAAGACTATAATCAAAGTAATAACTGTCGTTGACAAATGATTCATTAGACGAAGACCGTGTCGATATTTCTAAGCTGTAGTATCAGTTGACATTATACAAAATGTTCACCTGTCGAAATATACCAATCAAAACACTCATAAGGTGTATAACTGACATTGATTTTGATTGCTTTTTAGAGCATTGTCATTCAAGGATCTATGTACAAGCTATAGTGTTTATAACCTACATGAAACATTCATACAAGTTAATATTTGAATGCTTACAAGCATACATGTACACACGACATAAAATACATTAAATGTCATGAAGCATCTGCATCGCATGTCATGGGCTGTAAAAATTAGCAGGTTAGGTAAGCAATAACAAAGGCCACTATGAGCAGATCTTGTGATAGTTGGTTTATAATTAGGTATTTAACCAGTTCAGGTGTGGATTAAGCCGACCAAATAACAAACTAGTGTAAATGATATCCGCGCAGTTATATATTCCTCTGTGACATAAAACAGCAGGACTCTCAGATATCGGAGAAACTGAATAAATCTTTCCGCGTTTAGCGCGCGCATTCGTTTGTTTGTTTGTTTGTTGTTTAACGCCGCACTCAGCAATATTCCAGCTATATGACGGCGGGCGGTAAATATTCGAGTGTGGACACGACAATCCAGTGATTGACATCATGTGCATCGATCTACGCAATTGGCATACGATGACACGCATCAACTAAGTCAGCGAACCTGACCACCCGATCCCGTTACTTGCCTCTTACGGCAAACATAGTCGTCCATTTACGGCAAGCATGGGTAGCTGGAGACCTATTCTACCCCGGATCTTCACGGCTGTATTCCTCTGATGTATTACTTACCTGCGTTTTACGTTAATGATATGATGCACGAGCCAGGGAACCTAGCGAGCGTCATTGTTTGTAATCAATGTCCACTTACGTGTGCGTTTTATTTACTTAAAATACAGAATCAAAGTAATTAGATTACAAATACAGTCTGAACGTTGAAATAAGCAAAAATGAAATTGTAAACAAACAAAATATGCTGCACGGAAATGTCATGCAGTACATTTGTAACACGTTGAAATCTTTAATTTCACGCTTCGTACTGCACGTCCATTATGTGAGATTTGATCGTTGTAGTCGGTATGTTCGCGACGCCTATGTTTAGAATAAAATCATGAACTTAGAATATGCATTGCTGAAAGTAGGTCAGTAAACAGTCACTTCGTGACAGATGATCTACAGTTGAAACAATAGATTGACGTCATAGCCTTGTTCCTTGTTCACACCAGCACACACACGTTAGGGTGACGCCTCCACTCTTGTATTACTTTGTTTATGAAATATGTTTACAAAATAATTCATCGAAAAAGGTATTTTTATAATAATTTCAAAATAACATGTTTTTTGCAATTGAAAATGTTCTCCTGAAAGTACATTTGGTAGAGTGAAAACATTGAATAATAATGCAACGTGTTGTTTAGTGTGGGAATGTCAAATTAAAGTCTCCCGTCCCTTCTCTTCCGATATCGATCTACTTTGGAGAGATTTATTTTATTTCTGAAATTTCTTAATACTTGGTGGACAAGAAAACAACACTACCCTAAATATGTCCCTTTTATTCTGCGCTATTTAAAATGTAGCCTATTTTGAGTTGGGACATATGGCTATCAATAGAGTATTCTCATACAAGCTCACATAGTATCGAGGGCAGTACACGGGCCGCTCTTATCTTCAGTTCAACATGTGTTGACGGTCTTCAAAACAGAATAATACAACGTTATTCCCACTTCAAGGTTATACCTTTTATATTAAATGGAAAATGATCATTTGAGTATACTGGCCATGTTGGACCAATAATGGTTATCACTCGCAGTAATGTTGGTCAACACTGCAAACATAAAACTGTATTATCAGGGCCTGGGCGCTTTTGTTAAGGTGTGTGAATTACGATCACCTTAGCGCTAAGATCACTTAGAAACTCTGCGTTATTCACAATTGTGTCCCTTAGGTGTTCCATAAAACCTATGATCATGAGTTCTAATCCCAGATTTGCCCTAATTATTTCCCTTGGTTTGTCCGTACCAGACCCGGCATGAAACTGTGGCCCCGTTCTCCAAAGCCATCTTAGCGCAAAGGTGGTCGTAACTTCCATAGGGGCGGTCGGGTAGCCTAGTGGTTAAAGCGTTCGCTCGTCACGCCGAAGACCCGGGTTCGATTCCTGACATGGGTACAATGTGTGAAGCCCATCTTTTCTGGTGTCCCCCGCCGTGATGTTGCTGGAATATTGCTAAAAGCGGCGTAAAACCATACACACTCACTCACTCACTCACTCACGTAACTTCCATACTTTAACACTGGCTTACTCATCTTGACACTAAGATCGTTTTGTTGAACGGGGCCCTGGTACTTGGAAGGGTGGCCATGTTAGTAATGAGAGTCTACCTTTGCCAGCTCGTCACGATATGGCTGAAATACTGCCGATGTGACGTTACATATTAACTCACTCACTCACTCACTCACTCACTCACTCACTAATTCACTCACTCACTCACTCAATCACTCAATCACTCACTCACCCACTCACTCACTACCTGTTCTTGGCTGTTCTTGGCTGTTACGTTAAAAGTTTTACAACTTTATGAATTCCTGGCCACGGAGATGTTGCATTGTACGCGAGAAGTCCCATGACGAAATGATGCAACTGTTGACACTGGATTTTGTTATTGTTCAGTTTGTTGATTATTAATATCTACCTACATTTCCTTTTCAGGAGAAAATGATAAGTGTAGTTTCAGCTTCTTGTTGGGAGTTCCCTCTAGCGCGGAGTGTGGAGTAGGTCTCCGCTGCAGCGTGGCCACCATGACGTGTGTCCAGATGGCCAAACGACAAGGTGAGACTCTTCATAAGTTTCAAACATTTAATTAAATATAGATATGTTTTGGCCATGGGCACACTGTAAGGGTACGAAGGTCGAAGTTTGGTTATAAAGTGTGGGGCAAAAAGAAGTGTACACCCATGTTTGATGGTGGTTGAATATGAAACAAACAGAGATGGTATTCGATGGTGATTGTATTCGACACGGATATCAAAGGCGATATTACATGAATTATAGTTTGTACATATGACGTCTCAGGCAGAATGGGGGTCGCAATTTCACAGTTGTGAGCAATGACCAGGGTGAAGTGTGAATTTGGAAGTGTATACTTTTTTTGGTCGTGGGTTTAGTTGTCACAGACAAATGTGTTGACTGTCATCAGGTATATATCAGGTATATAGGATGTTGTTTGGCGTGACGAGATGGTTTACAACTATGTGGATATGATTTTTATGTCAACACATATCAAGACTCGAAACTGATAAGATTTAGCATTTGATTGCTAATTCTGGAGAAAATGTCACCCGGACCTTCCTATTAAAAGTAGTCTGGTACTTTCAATAGTATTCAATAGTAAATTTCGTGTTTTGGCTAATTGTGTGTTGGTAGTGTCAGCCGTGTGACCCCCCCCCCCCCCCCCCCCATCCCCACCCCACCCCACACCCCCTCCTGAATCCGTCGTAGTGACGTACACGTGGACAATGGCGTTAATGCATTCGATCCCACTTCTCCTCCTGCATCTTTGAAATTGCATTTTAGACTAAGTGCCACCCTCGTGTTAAAGTATGCATTGAAATATTTGTAAACTTAAAAGGTATTAAAATTATTCTAATGCTTTCAGCCGTACCTGAAACGCCTTTGCTAGTTTTTGTTTTGCTTTTGTTTGTGACTTTAAGGTTTTCTCTCTCTCTTCAACAGTGGCACTTGGCCCATGCGCGCTGAAGCAGCAGCAGTTGCAGCAGGGCCAGTCCGCCGGCCTCCCCCTGCTCGGTGTCCAGAGCCTGAAGTGCAACCAGGACGGATCCTACAACCCCGTGCAGTGCCTGGGATCAGAGTGCGTTACCCTTCATGCTATCAGCTACGTGTGACGAATATGTCTTTATATCCAGTTCAAACAGCAATAGGGATATTTATATCAAAAGCATGAACTCATTCGCTATCATAGGTTCTATCAGAAACCCCCAAGGAAAATTAAGATATTGACCCATTCGCTACCATAGCATTAGGCTCTATCAGAAACCCCCAAGGAAAAATTAAGATATTGACCCATTCGCTACCATAGCTATAGGCTCTATCAGAAACCCCCAAGGAAAATTAAAATATTGACCCATTCGCTACCAAAGCTATAGGCTCTATCAGAAACCCACAAGGGAAATTAAGATATTGACCCATTCGCTACCATAGCTATAGGCTCTATCAGGAACCCCCAAGGAAAATTAAAATATTGACCCATTCGCTACCATAGCTATAGGCTCTATCAGAAACCCACAAGGGAAATTAAGATGTAGACCCATTCGCTACCATAGCTATAGGCTCTATCAGAAAACCCCAAAGGAAAATTAAAATGTGGACTCATTCGCTACCATAGCTAGTTTTTCGGCACAACTGGAATGGAACGACATTGAAAAAGCCATCCAATCAAATTCCTGTAAACGAGCGAAACTATGCCCTAAGAGATGGAGACGGTGACGTCACTTTGAAACGAAGCTTCAGCGGCGAATTAATCCCGGGTATGCATCATAATGGAATGGAGATATAATACACTGGATAATCGATGGTGATGATAAGTACAGAGGTGGATTATTTTACCGAATAGCAATTTCGACCATCCAGGTGTATATAACTGTATGAATTGTGATGATATTGCCGTATTCGCGAATACCACATTAATTTAAATGTTTGTGATATAAAATGTTCCCTGGAATGTTATCCTCGTATGGGTGGCCAGGCACGTCAACCCTCAGTGAGCTTTCAGAAATAGTCCAGCAATATAACGACGGGAGACACCAGAAATGGAATTCCTACATTGTATGCTTATAAGGATTCGAGCCCGTGTCTTGGGCAGAATTTCAAAGGTTGAACAGCGTTCAGGTCTAATTGGCGTCCTTCAGTTCCGTCACATTAAAACCCTTCTGAGCTAGTATCGTATGTCTCCTGTAGATGTTACTGTGTGGATTCTGCCGGAGTCGAGATTGCCGGATATAGGACAAGCATCGGCGCCACCGACTACTCCACCAAGAACTGCCGTGAGTAGCTAGCCGGATCTGCAATACTATAACTGACTGCTGGGTGTTTGATAGCCGCCAGTAGCTGCAAGATTGCTGATGCGGCGGCGTTCAGCAATAATCACTCACTCATTCGTCTCAGAGTGAATGAGTGAGTTGGGTTTAACGCCGCTTTTAACAGTATTCCAGTTATATCGCGGCGTGTCAGCTTAATGTGGGAGGAAACCCCAATGTGATGCAGGTCTCAGACGTTTACCACTTCGGTGAAACCCACGAGCACGGGTGTGGTGCTAACAGACCTAGAAACATAATCGGGGCGAACCGGGATTCGAACCCACAATCATAGGTTTCTGGTGTGCCCAAGGGACGCAACTCTGCACAGCGAATCGCGGCACTTTAGACGACTGGGCCACCCGTGCCCCCATTCGTCTCAGATTCTCGTGCACAATGATGGATAAATGAATGTCAAAAAAGTACGCGGGGGTACGTGTGTAAATATTACGTTTTGCGATCTACTTAGTGTTAGCATGGAAGGTTTACTTCTAGGTGTATTTGTGATCTTCATCCTTCACCATTGATCGGGAGGTCCAAAAAACTAGGCAATCGAGCATCACCGAATTTACCAACTCTCTTAAGTTCTTCAGTTATAATCTTTTATGTAAGATTTATTCACGAAGTAGTACTTTGTCCTTGGAGAAGGAAAGTGAGTGAGGCAAGTGTCGTTTTTTCAAAACAAAATTACAGAAGTAATTATTTAGACTTTTTGTTAGGTGTGATCTAGTTATAAAAACAGCATTGATAATCAGCGAAATGACGCTAACCATTAATGATCCAATCGTAGGAGCGAGTCAGTGAGATTGAAGCCAGTAATTATGATCTGTGTAACCTAAGTTACCTTGTCAATATATAATTCACTGACAGGTGTGAGTAGGATTTCCAATACAGGGATTCCGTGCTACTATCACAAACAACGTACATACGATGACGCTGTACGCATTTAACTACAGAGTGTGCGCGAGACAAGGAGCAGTTCTCAAAGACAGGTGCGTTGGGCCAGACTTTCGACTGTGAGAGCAATGGAAACTATCAGCAGTACAAGTGCGAGGGGTCCGTCTGCTTCTGCACTGATGACAATGGCAAGATGATTGGAACCCAGAAGGTGTCCATTGGTCTCCTCTCCACGCTCAAGTGTTGAGCTGTCTCACGTGAGTCTTGTATTGGTGAATTCGTGTGTATTTGTTAGTTATCAGCACCCCACTCCGCAATGTTAGAGCTATATCACGGCGGCGTGTAACTAATCGGTCTGGGCCAGACAATCCAGTGATTGATATCGTGAACGATCTACGACGTGGGGCACATTAACACTCAATCAACGATGTCACCGAACCTGACCATCCGATCCATTAGTCGCTTTTTACGTCCAGCATCGGTTGATGGGGGCCTATTCTAAACCAGAATGCTCACTGGGGTGTGGTTGGGCAATATAGTAGATGTGGTTATTACAATCACAGCTACTTCACATCAGCCCTGAAGAAGACAAACCAGCCCATCTGGGCATGGGTCGAATCACAAGAAATTTCAGACAAGCTCAGATCTGATCTTGCGGAATTGTTGCAAGGACTTCCGATCTTGGTCATCTAATCTTTGAATGCGGACTTATTCTAATGTGTCAGCAGTTCTTTGACAGAAAAGGGATCAGCATACCATGAATGTCCTGGACGGGTTCTGTTGCTGTAACTTGAGTTGAGAGCCACTTAAAAAGGTGATGTCAGGTGTCGCCTGGATGACTGTCATCACATCATCCAAACATTATCTCAATCTCTGGATTGTCCAGTTCAGACTTGCCTATTTACGGGCTGGGGTCATCTGGCTAGAATATTGCTGAGTGAGGCACTCAACAACAAACATTATACTTCCAGGACATCTCACCCCAGTGGTGTTGATGGCCAGGCCATGGTTTGCAGGCTCATTGACGATTTTAAAACTTTCTTAATTGCAATGCATACATCAATTCAGTTATATTTGGGATGTTAGTTTCAATACTTGAACGTCAATTATGCTATCAGGTGGTGTAAACTGGAATCTGTAAAATAAAATTGATGTCTTTCAAAAAAATAAAAATATTTTGTGCTCATGTGAAACTTGTCATGGCTTAAAACTATATGTTAGCAAATATCTCTTCTCTTTTTCAGAATGACAGATTGCAGTCTTATTTTTCAGGACAGAGATAATGTTTTACAAGCAGGATTGTGTATGAAATAATGTTGAAATAAACAGAAAAGAAACTAGCCTGGTTCTTTCTACCATGAATAAAAACAATTTCATACATCAGATAAATAAAATAAATGAAAACATTCTGTGAAGTATTAGATGTCATGTGCACGTAACGCACTGTACCATAAAAACAAGATTAACAAAACGTCACAAGACAACTCATAAAACTGATGAAGAGTTAGTCCAAGAGCAAAGTCTGAATGAAGGAAAATGTTTGATTGGAGTAATAATGGTCATCGGAAGGTTCTTGTAACCAGTTGAGGAATTGGAAAATACAGTTAGAGAACATGAAAACAAATGTGCCCATAAATAGGAAAGAAACATAAAAACTTTCACAAAGAAAGATAAAACCCAATCTACCCGACTGTCAAACACTTTCAAAAGGAAAAATGCATGTGCTTCCATATTCCTTTGTCAACTGTCGAAAGTTGAAATGTGTGATTGACAGTTTATGACCTTGGTGTTCATGACTGCTCAGAAACAGCAGACATCTACACCCAGAAGGTTGTTGCCTGACCTATACTAGAACTCCATATCAAAGGTTGTATCTACACTTAGAAGTCAATGTCCCCCGGAGTTTTACATGTACCCCTGAGCAGCTAAGGTCAGTGAAGAGGCATGACTGATCCCAACAATGGTGTCAAGAAGATACATGAAAGGATTGTGCCACATGAAAATTGTAACTTGGTCGATGACAAACCAATTAATTTATCTGTGCTGGTGTAATTTATATCATATGCAGTATGTTGTACTGCTTTACTTGTAATTGTGTTCATTTTACTACCTTTCACTTTCACTACAGTATGAATCTAGCAAAATTAAATGTCAACATTATCTGATACTGAAATTTGAAAATGATCTACAATATAGAATTCAAGATACAAATAAGTATTAAAAACTCATTATCACCGTGTCAGAATGTTGAGACCATATTGGTTCACTTGACCTTGATAAAATACTAAAATATCAACAAAGGTAGACAATTTAGAATTCCCATTTATTATTTCCCTTATGTCATGATTAAAATGTTCTTTAAGGCTTAAAAACATATAAGAATTGTTTCTCTAGCAATGGCTTTTGAAAATATAATGTGTGCTGGTGGTGGGTTTTGGGTTTGTTTTTTTGTTATTCAAACTAGTATGTAACCAAATAAATAGTTGTAGCGCCTGAGAATCAAAACTATTATTTTTTTTAGCCTAAGTCTCCATTAATAATAATCCACAAAGCAAACCTGGGGCTTCAACTGCCCCATAATCTCAACTCCAAACAAAAACTTGACACTCTTTCCATGAACAAGCCTTTGTGGTTGGTTGTTTTACGCCGCACTCAGCAATATTCCAGCTATATGACGGCGGTCTGTAAATAATCGAGTCTGGACCAGACAATCCAGTGATTGATATCATGACCATCGATCCTCGCAAGCCTTTGTGGTCTCTGTTCAATATGGGATGCAGGTTGATAGGTGAGTCTGCAGACACACGGAGATGATTCCAAACAAATAAACACCTACATAATCATGTTTATTTTTATTCAAAAGATTATCTGCGATGTCCACACCATCACAGTTGATGACATGACAAAGATGATGATGCTACTTTCAGACAACAACTTGCAAATTACAGTTGAGATACAGTTGCCATTCAAACCATGAGAAAAGTGTTCTGTTAAGCCATGTAAATGATTATTATGTGACATCACTGCTGCCATGTTGTGTACAAGGGTGGATGCTGGTTAGCACAGCTGAAGAATCAGCTCAACAGGTTCAGCATAATTTTCTAAAAGTTATTTTCTAAACTGGAATGTTTAATGATGACCAGATAGTTGTACTTGTTTTTGTTTGTTTGTTTGTTGTTTAACGCCACACTCAGCAATATTCCAGCTAGATGATGGCGATCTGTTAATAATCGAGTCTGGACACAACAATCCAGTGATTGACATCAAGAGCATCGATCCATGCAATTGGGATACAATGACATGCATCAACCAAGTCAGTGAGCATGACCACCTGATCCCGTTGATTGCCTCTTGCGACAAGCATAGTCGCCTATTACAGCAAGCATGGATTGCTGAAGACCTATTCTACCCCCGATCTTCACGGGTCAGTTGTACTTGTACATATATGGTTCATAATACATATGCAGATATTCAGACAGATCAACAATCATGAGAAAACATTTGAGAAATGCATAAAACTTCAAAATGTGGTCAACTTCTGGGTTTTTTCATTTCTTGCAATGTGATGTCCTCTTACCTTAACCAAGATGATAAAACCACAAAAATCAATTACAGTTGTAAATGTTGGAACATTCACCTAAAGATAGTCATTGATTCATCCAAATAGGCTGCAAGATCTAAAGGAACACATGGTCAAAATTTGTCACATGGAATACTCTCTGCACTCCTCAGCTGTTCAATGGAAAAATCTTGAATAAACAAATCTTTCAAAAGAAACAACTGAGAAAACATTGGCTGTGCTCTTGTAACACAAACCCTTCCCTCAAGTCACTTGTTAACTGGTTGCTTGGCTGCTACCTTCAAGTATTTAGCAGTGTGAGTGAGTGAGTATGGTTTTACGCCTCCTTTAGCTATATTCCAGCAGTATCACGGCAGGGGACACCAGAAATAGGCTTCAAACATTGTACCCATGTGGGAAATCAAACCCGGGCTTTCGGCGTGACGAGTGAACGCTTTCACCACAAGGCTACCCCACAGACCCTTAGCAGTGTCAACAGAAAACTCAATAACCTACTTTACTCTAATGGTATATTCAAGGAAAGTTATCACCACCTGTAGATGAAAAATATGCTCAGAGAGAGCAATGTATTCTCTTCACATACGAATACTGGTAATCATCCAAACACCACTGAGTATGTCAGTTGCATCTTACACACGTTGCCATCTGACGAATAATCAGAAGGATGTGGAGAGTCTCACAGTACAGATCCTACTTAGGAGGCTGAAAATCCTGCAGACTCATCAGAACACAAGTTTGGTGAACAGTTCTGTTTAACCACATCCAGACCCATGTTGTCTCCTGTCCACGATCAGTCATCTTCATCATCCTCGTCCGCTCTGGCTACTGCCTCGCTCGCATTCACCACACTGGCTAAATCTTCCTGGCTTGCTTTTAATCTTTCCCCTGTGAACACAAAATAGAAAAGGAAATCAAGTAAAGGTTAGTTTTTTTCTTGTGTATGGAACACGCCAGAAGCAGCTTCTCAACACCCCGCAGTATCAGAGGTAAATCCATTGATTGCTGATTGAGAGCAGGGTGGAGAGCTCCAGAGACAAAAGACAGTGACATTTTACAGACATATTCAACCCATCAAACTTAAGCATGAGTTGCTAAATATTGTCTACTGCAAGAACTGACCAAAATTCACCCTTAAGCGAGGCCTAATACCCTACTCAACAAAACAATTGACTTGTAAATTTATGTAATGAACAAAGGGAGATAATCTCAGACGACCGTTCATTATCTCCCCTGTTCAGTTATCATAAGTTCACAGGTTTAAACAAACATTGTAATATTGTCAGCAATATAATGCACTAGATCCTATCTTGGTAGAAACCACCTCATGCATTGTAATGGCCAACATAAAATTTACATCTGTGATGAAATTCCTCAACATGCTCAAATTGATAATACAGTACATATTGTTTACCTGAGATTACATAGTCTAATCAAAATAACAGTGCATTTTCATTTTGGTTACAAAACTATGTAGCCTTAAACTGAAGAAATACGCTGCAGCTGTATACTGACTGATTAACTGAAGAAATACGCTACAGCTGTATACTGACTGATTAACTGAAGAAATGCGCTACAGCTGTATACTGACTGATAACTGAAGAAATACACTACAGCTGTATACTGACTGATTAACTGAAGAAATGCGCTACTGCTGTATACTGACTGATAACTGAAGAAATACACTACAGCTGTATACTGACTGATTAACTGAAGAAATTCGCTACAGCTGTATACTGACTGATTAACTGAAGAAATACACTACAGCTGTATACTGACTGATAACTGAAGAAATACACTACAGCTGTATACTGACTGATTAACTGAAGAAATACACTACAGCTGTATACTGACTGATTAACTGAAGAAATACACTACAGCTGTATACTGACTGATTAACTCTGCAATCGCTCTCTGTGTCCGCTTCTCCAGTTTCTCCAGCTTGGGGGCGATGTCGCGCTTCAAGTCCCAGTCAGGCTTCCTCGGCGCCAGGTTCAGCAAGTCCTAGCCACAAGCATCAATCAATGAACAGACTTCCCACATCTCCAACAATACAGAAATGGCTGAGTAACTGACCAAACTAACATAAATATGACTGAGCAGAGGTAGCCTAAATTATGTGTGTAACATTTTCTGAAAATGTTTGGAGTTGCCATTGTTGTGATCATCCATGCAAAGTTTCATTGGAGCTTTATGACTAAAAGATAACAAAAGTGTAATTGTTTACAACAGATATATGGACAAGCAAAGGGAGAAATAGAGAATCTCACCCTTGTGTCTTTTGATATCAAATATATCAATGAGTGTTGATATATTTGATATCAAAAGACACAAGGGTGAGATTTTATTTATCATCTAACATCATTCTTCCAATGTTTTCAGTTTGTAGACAGTAATAAGCAGTGTCTTAAGTGTAAAAAGTACTGCTAACAGCTTCAGTAGCAGAGCCATTAGTAATGTTATTTGATTGTGATATCATGGTAACCAATGACGTCACAATGGTCTGCAAAGTATTGTGATGCAATTTCATAGCAGCGATATCTACAGTGTGGGAGCCAGTTTGGGATGATAAAAAGAAGGCTCACATGAACCTAATTCACTGCCATACACACAAAAGAATGTCAACAAGGTCAAGCCCCTCCCACTCTACTCCAAACACACTGAACAAGTTAACCCTTTCCATGTTAACAAATACAAAAGCACTATTTATGTACATTATGTACACATAGATACATGTGTTTTTTCCAAATGTCAGTATAATGCATTTTAGATTTGTTCTGACAAATAATCACACCCAGAGTAACATTATGACACATAATCATTCTCCCCAACATCTTTCTTCAACATGTTTAAGAAACGTGATGTGAATTTTACTGAGTAACATGAATTTTGTATGAGCTCCTGAATCCTACACATCATCAGAACTTGATTTGTTATGCAACAGAAATTCATCAATAGAAATTCTAAGAACAAAAGGTGTCCAAATTAAGGAGTGTCCTGGCCTCCTTGAGGTTTGCAGCAATTGTAATCTGTATCTGAAGCAGGGCCCCTACCAATATTTCCAACATTTGTGTACTGACATAGGTCACCATCAGTAGTGACATGATATCAAATAGTACATGAATCATTGTAAGATGCCATTATTTCATCATGTTCATAACCACTAGACCCATGAATATCCGGAGTAAAATAGGTCTTCAGCAACCCATGCTTGCCATAAAAGGTGACTTTGCTTGTCGTAAAAGGCGACTAACAGGATCAGGTGGTCAGGCTCGCTGACTTGGTAAGATGCATGGAAATTGTGTAGATCAATGCTCATGTTATCAATCACTGGATTGCCTGGTCAAGCTCGATTATTTACATGGATGCTGTCCAATAGCAGGAATATTGCCAAGTGCGCTGATCACTAGAAGCAGTTAATTTGTCAAAAAACATACATTTTAAACAGCTACTAATTTGTTCCATCATTGACTAAAAATTGAAGTGCTAAACATGCTAAAGAGAGTGAGTGAGTTGGATATAATGCTGCTTTCAACAGTTGTATCAAGGCTGGTCTGTTTGATGTGGGAAGATAGCTTGAGGCAATGCAGGTCTCAGACGTTTACCACTTTGGTGGAACCCATGACCAGTGGCCGCCTGTGCCCTCCCACAATCCTAAGAAAATGGCTGACAGTAACATTGTATAGATCATGTTGACAGAGAAGCTCCTAACATTGTAGAATCCACATCACAGTTTGTCAGTGAACATGAAGTTTCTGTTCCACAGGACTACATTGACAAATGACGATGATTGTTGATTGTCATACGACTTGTCTCGTACTTCATTCACAACATGTACACAGATTACTCACCACTTCTTCAACAATGTGCTTTGTCTTTCCAGCTTCTATCTGATTTTTTACCTCACTTTCAACTGAAAAAAGATAAATTATTACATAGTATGTGCCTGTTTATTCTGGACAGGTGATAACGGTCCCCCTGTTTTTTCCCACTTCTTCATTGTTTACATCCTTGGATCCATAATGTCACACACACCATTATAATGATAGTCATTCAGGTTGTATTCTGAATTTTTACATGACAATGGTCATTACATCATGTACTACAACCCCAAAGCTTTATTCTTGTTATTCTCGAATTGAACCATAGCTATTATCACCCTCCAGGTATAGATGCACTTTGGTGCACTTCACTGTAGATAAACCAGTGATTATCTTAATTTGAAAGAAGTCATTTACTGACCTACTGTAAATATAGTCAAACACCATTGTGTCAAACTACTTACTCTTGTACTTGTTCATATTCACCGGCAACAATACCCACACTTTAAATTAAAAATTTGCTTATCATGGACTAAATCTTGACTGGTTTGACTTGTTTTCAGCACTATTCTCGCTATAAGTCATCTCATGATTTACGGGGGCTAATTAAAGCTGGGCCGGCGAGACAACAGAGTTGGGAGTATTGTTGCCCTTTGATATGAGACAAGACCTGACATAGTATAATCAATACTACCATCTCCAGGTTTAACTACATCCAGCGCGTGTTCCTTCAGCCCTTCATCCTGTGGTTTGTAGCTTCTAAAGATGGGTCTGAAAGGAAGTCCATGAACATTACAGTTGGAGTCAACATGAAGGAAAGAACTCCACCCGTATCACCCCTCCAAAAGTTGCAATGCCTCTCAATCCTTTTAATCATATATATTTTAAGGGGGGATATGGGCGGAAGTCATACCGAGCCATGTTCAGGCTAGTAGTCTTATGTGTTTGGCACTGATAGATAATTTATGTTATCCACACTAAAACATGTATCAAGGACATGTATAACTTTAAGATTGTACTTTTGTGCATTTGTACACAATGCCATAATTAGAGATGATCTAATCTGTGACTTGATAAGAATATATTACGCAGATATATTAAATTGATTCACCGTGTTTACCAAACGCCCCACCTGGTGTGTGAGACTGATAGACAAAAATAATTTTGTTGATGCGTAAAACAAATTACCAGTCCCTCAGGAATGAGGGTTAGCCAATAAACAATGAATCTAGATCTGGTAATGTTTGTTTCTTTGCTGACAACATGGGCTTCTTAGAAATGTCTTTACCGAGGTAGCTTGTCGCTTTCAGATTGTTCCGATACTTCATCTTTGGAGTTTTCATGCTTCTTCTCTCGTAGGGCTCTCAAACGTTCTTTCCGTTTCCTCGCTGCATTTTCCAACGTGCCTACCGACGCCATGTTGGAACAGGTGTTACACTTCCGGTTGCTAAAATCCGGAAAGAACCGACAAGTCGCGGAAGCGGGCGTAAAAGACTCACCACAGATTAAGTTTTTCGTTTTCTTTACTTTTATGTTTGTCTTTTATTCTATTTCAGATGTAATATATTCCAATGGGAATTTCAACATGTGTTATACATATCAACTGCAAAGAGGATTATGTAACAAAACAGTGACAACATTTCCAAGGAGTCTGGCGCCTATATAAATCTGTCTGTGTCCACAATTATAAAGAGAGTGGTTAACCTAAAAGCTCTCAACATTCCTGGGTTGAGTTTACCATTGAATGTTAAAACGTTGATTTACTTCAAATAGAAGCGAGTCAAGCCCGAGTGTAGTGCTGGTGAGTCCACTGACGCTGAACCAAGTCTTCCGACCATTGTAACTCCAGGTATGCAGAATCTCATAGGACCAGTTCTGCGAACTAGTTTCGAGTAAAGGTTTTTGTTTTGTTTGTTTGTTTGTTGCTTAACGCACGTAGATATATTCCAGCTATATGACGGCGGTCTGTAAATAATCGAGCCTGGACCAGACAATCCAGGGATTAATATCATGAGCATCGATCCACGCAATTGGGATACGATGACATGCATCAATCAATTCAGCGAGCCTCACTACCCATTCCCGTTAGATGCCTCTTACGACAAGCATTGGTTGCTGAAGACCTATTCAAACCCGGATCTTCATGTATGAACGCAACCCTAAATGGTTACACACACAGGCGGAAGTTTGACAGGATCCTTTAAAAACATACATTGGATACATATTATGCAGGAATCTCACTGGACAAACGTAGTCGCTGTTGTCATGGTCAGTCTAAATACATGCATTTTCTTACAAGACCTCGTCGGGTGTTTGTTGTTCAGTGCCCTCTCAAATGTGTGACCAGTCTGTGACCACTCGTATTACTACTGCGTGAATCGCTGTTGAGGCTATGAGCACCACCTTCCCGAGATAAGAGAGTTAAGTCCAATTTCCACCCTTGCCGAACTTGGCTGGAATTCCTGGGCTCGATCGTAGCGCAACCAGTGGTTATTATGAGTTATGTCCCTTATGAGTCTCTCCTATGGACCAATCCGATTCCATCACTTGCATTTGTTTCAAACAAAATGGCGGCGCCCAGTCAAGACGATCTGATCGATAATCAAGATATATATTGTGATAAAACGGGTCTTACATCGCGAATTGCATCAAATCACGCGAGCAACTTGATTTAAAACATGAAAGGGTTTGGAAAATATCTGTTGACAACAAATTGGCGGTGTGCATGTTTTGCAAATCCTGCAATCGACCGAAATCTGCACGACAGTTTACGAACCGGATTTCGATTTCTTTGCGCGATTTTGATCGGACTGTGCATGGACTCGTTAGTCTAGCCAAAAGGTAATTCCATAATAACAGCCTAATTCGGCAAGGGTGGAAACTGGACTTTTAAAGTCAGTTAACTCTCTTGCCTCGGGTAGATGATGAGCTCTGGCTTACTCGGTCTCGTTGGCAGGTCGCGGTGATATATCTGTAATATCGCAGGCTGTACAATATACAGAAAACAGGATAATTCACATCCTTAGATTACCTCAATCTTATTAAAATCGGATACAAGTTCTCGCTATCGACGAGGACATACCATTACAGGTCACGTCCGAACAACTTTTCGCGAACTATGACCTACCAATGAAATGACCAACAGGAAGTCGACGTTAGCCACTTAGAAAGCAGCTTTCTTAAGCTTTGGGTAACAGTTTCAAAGTTGCGACTTCCATTCCAGACTATGCTTTTTAAAGTATTTTGAATCGGCCATACAGTCCGTAACAGTTGTTTTGTGTTAAACTTTAGAGGTTGCATGATAAGAAAACATATTACGCCAACAATGTAACATAACAATATGAATTTTTTATATTTATTTTATATTTTTTATTACGTGTTTGAATCCTTATCTATCGTGTAGTTGTCCGATTTTCGATCACGAACGTTGATACTACTAAATTTCGTTTATCCGACATACTCGTTAATCCGACATAATCATATGCAACCATCGATGTCGGATTAACGGGACCTGACCGTACACAAACACTGTGAGACATTCGTAGTGTTTGTTCTTTAATGCCATCTCTGACATTCTATCACGTGGTAAATGATGATGATACACGTGAGGTGAGGTGAACTGGGGTTTAAGGTCGCGTTCACGATTATTGCGCTTTTATAGCGACGTGTGTGTGCGTGCGGGTGCACGTGTGCGTATGTGGCTGCTTGATATAGTCCGGATTAATGCCGGTTTTAGTGGTAGTCTACTGGGCTACCATGCCACAGTTTAACATGGATACCCTTCTCGGACACATTATACTGACTCCGAGTCGGGTAGTCCTTGTTTTGTCCCCTTAATGCCGAGCACCAGGCAGGGTAACACGCAGTACAATCGTTCAACTTCTTTCGGTATGACACACGTCAAACAAACGTCACTTGCAGGAACAATGCACACATGTGACGTTTGTGAGATTCGTTAACTAATTAACCATTAAAACACGTGGCTCCGCAACACGTGATCTGGCAAATCGGCAATAGGTTATATGTGAACATACATGAATATCACGTGAGTCTCCGTGTCTCATCACTTCCACATGTCTGAAAGCCCCCTGTGAATATAACAACATCATCAACAACAAAGCAAACATGAACTACGTCGGTCTGTAATTGACGGCGCGGTTCAGCTATCCTCTAGACGATCTGCCGCTGTGTAATGAGCAGTTCCCACATGCTATTCCGGTAAATCTTTTACTGGATTCATGGAAACTGATTTCGCAAAGCTTTTGATTAAACATAACAAACACTGTCAGGCCATTTACGTTACCATCACATCATCTCGATATGCCATGATTTGAAACCAATCTGTAATCACGTAATTACAAAACATCGTCAGCAATCTTTTAAACTGCCTGTTGACGTCATTCATGATCGGGTTTGATTTCGGAGAAGAATATTTTCTGTTCTGTTGCATGTCGGGGGCGATGTCGCCATGCTAACCACTGGCTTCCAAACAAGAATTACATAAACTCTTCAGGGGAAAAAAAGGAAATCATTTACCTTTACAGTTGAGATTACCGATGTATCTTCAGCTAAAGCATGCTTTCACGTAGATTTAACAATCGTAATGTATAACGACAATTGTCGACCGACCTGCATGACTAAACTAAACCGTTTAATGTATCGTGTCCTCGCTACTGGAATTGTGATTGTTGCAATGGTTAATGATAAAATACCTTTTTATATTTTTGGTACAACCAAAACTGTAGTCATCAAGTCTTATCGTATGTTTCTAAATCACCAATTATAACATTCTTTCTGGGTTCGTCTCTGTCCGTGTCGAATATTTCCATTGGTCGTAAATCAGTCTGTTCAGAAGTCGTATTAACATTTAATACCCATTATTTAGCCAAACTAGAATTTAGGCATACGACATAGATAACAGCTAGTTTATACAGGAATAAATGTGACGCGTACGACCGCATTCCGCGTGTTGCGACGTCGAAGACAGCGTAGCTTGATCCAGATGAGCGTGGATGTGAATCACAACAAGACTGGACACCCCCGCGCCACTAACAAGTGCATGTCTTATTTGTGGATTTTCAAGTCACTTGTATTTTTGCCAACAGTAACAGCCATTATGTGTTGTTCACACAAACAGGTGCCCGCCTCAACAACACCTGTCAAAACACCCCCTGCTTTACGAGGGCGAGGCATTTTCCATTTGGTCCAAATCGAAACGCTTATAGATCATACGTTGAAAATAAAAACAAAATATAAACAAACGTGGTTTTGAAAAAAATAGATGCTAGAGACCAGGCGCTTAACTGCATGGAACGGAAATATATATTTTCTAAAACATTGCAGATGTGATTCTAGTCTCTAAAGCCAGAGAATTCTCTCCCTACCATAAAGATCACGTGAATGTGTTCATCCAGACTTTTTACAATTCTAGCCAGTATGTTAAACCGGTCGTTTGATCAAGAGAGATAGATTTGCACCACGATCAATATTTGGTTGGGTGTATCGTATGGTGCTTGGTGAACAAAATCACAAAACATGATCTTGAGTTGCGTGACTTCATACATATGTTACGGTTTAAGCTTATTGTAGACCTGACCCGTAAAGATCCGGGGAAGAATAGGTCTTCAGCAACCCATGCTGGCCGTAAGAGGCGACTATCGGGACCGGGTGGTCAGGCTTGCTCGATTATTTACAGACCGCCGTTATATAGCTGGAATATTGCTGAGTGTGGCGTTGAACAGCATAAAAACAAACACACAATATTGTAGAACTTCTGACATGCATCGTGCACTGAAAACTAGCCTTTCTTCTTTTCTTTGTGTCTTTTGAGGATACATATTTTTACTTAAAACATGACCGAGTGAACACGAGTGATAAAACGTTTGAGAATGGCCTGTTTTTCTTGGTAGAATCTAACTAATTAAATAATTCGGTGATTCAAAGTATTTCTTAAACCATTTGTGTGTACTCAATGTGAAAATCAGATGGGATCAAAGACGTGTACAAATAGATCAATTCCAATCTGTCCAATACGTGGATGCTATAAAAAACCGTTTCAAACACATCTGACAAAGTACATAGCGTTTCTAATCAAAACGTCTTCCTCATGTTTCCAATTTGGTAAAAAAAGGCCCTTATTATGTACCAAGGCCACAAATCGACCGTCAAATGTCTCATTACTAATTAAATCCAAGTCAATGAAAAATTACCAGCAGAAAATGTAATTGTGCTTCATATAGAGTGGTGAAAGTGTTATGTTATCGAAAATGACAACACGATATTGGATCATTCGACTGATCAATGTTTTAAAATCCTTGATAAAACCCATACTTGGTAAAAGGAGACAGAGAGACACGCCCTAAAGGGGGGGGGGGGGGGGGGGAGGGGGGAGGAGGGAGTAACAACTTATTTAACAATGTCAATTTC